TTGCCAAGTCCGTGTATACCACATCTGCATTCTGGTTTTCTTCTAATGGCTCAGTGATTTTGTCGTAGTGGTCAAGTAGCTGTGAGAGGCATGATCTTCCCGCTCTAAATCCATGTTGGCCTGGGTTGTGGAGGTCATTGGTCTCCATGAAACTAGTGACCTGACTCCTGATCACTCTCTCAAATACTTTTATTATGTGGGACGTTAGTGCAACTGGTCTATAATTCTTTGCCAATGCTTTGCTCCCTCCCTTGTGTAGAGGGGCAATGTCTGCTACTTTAAGTGCATCTAGTATCTCCCCCGTGTCCAAGCTCTTCCTTCACACTATACTGAGTGCCTGTGCTACGAGCACTTTGCATTTCTTTATAAATATCGAATTCCATGAGTCTGGCCCCGGGGCTGAGTGCATGGGCATGTTGTCAATTTCTCTTTCAAAATCTGCCACGCTCGTGTTGATATCAGTTATATTTACAGGGGTTTGGATATCAATCATAAAGAAATTGTCCGAATCTTCCACTTTCATGCTGTTATTGGAGTGCTAAACATGTCCTCATATTGCTTTTTTCAGGATTTCATTAATTACTTTTACTACCCAAAACCAGTAAAAATAAAAAACTTCTACATTATAGGGACTGCTTGCAATTTTTAAATTTGCAATCCCTTGAGCAGGGTTTTATAAACTGTGGGTCCCGACCCATTTGAGGGTCGCAAAATAAATAAAATGGGCTGCGATAAATAGAAAAAAGCACTACACATAAGGGACATAACTGGCCGACCCCTCACAGTGTTCAAGAGAGAACTATCAACATCAGAGGCCCGAGACTGTTCAACACGCTTCCACTACACATAAGGGACATAACTACATAACTGGCCGACCCCTCACAGTGTTCAAAAGAGAACTATCAACATCAGAGGCCCGAGACTGTTCAACACGCTTCCACTACACATAAGGGACATAACTGGCCGACCCCTCACAGTGTTCAAAAGAGAACTATCAACATCAGAGGCCCGAGACTGTTCAACACGCTTCCACTACACATAAGGGACATAACTGGCCGACCCCTCACAGTGTTCAAGAGAGAACTATCAACATCAGAGACCCGAGACTGTTCAACACGCTTCCACTACACATAAGGGACATAACTGGCCGACCCCTCACAGTGTTCAAGAGAGAACTATCAACATCAGAGGCCCGAGACTGTTCAACACGCTTCCACTACACATAAGGGACATAACTGGCCGACCCCTCACAGTGTTCAAGAGAGAACTATCAACATCAGAGACCCGAGACTGTTCAACACGCTTCCACTACACATAAGGGACATAACTGGCCGACCCCTCACAGTGTTCAAGAGAGAACTATCAACATCAGAGGCCCGAGACTGTTCAACACGCTTCCACTACACATAAGGGACATAACTGGCCGACCCCTCACAGTGTTCAAGAGAGAACTATCAACATCAGAGGCCCGAGACTGTTCAACACGCTTCCACTACACATAAGGGACATAACTGGCCGACCCCTCACAGTGTTCAAGAGAGAACTATCAACATCAGAGGCCCGAGACTGTTCAACACGCTTCCACTACACATAAGGGACATAACTGGCCGACCCCTCACAGTGTTCAAGAGAGAACTATCAACATCAGAGGCCCGAGACTGTTCAACACGCTTCCACTACACATAAGGGACATAACTGGCCGACCCCTCACAGTGTTCAAGAGAGAACTATCAACATCAGAGGCCCGAGACTGTTCAACACGCTTCCACTACACATAAGGGACATAACTGGCCGACCCCTCACAGTGTTCAAGAGAGAACTATCAACATCAGAGTCCCGAGACTGTTCAACACGCTTCCACTACACATAAGGGACATAACTGGCCGACCCCTCACAGTGTTCAAGAGAGAACTATCAACATCAGAGGCCCGAGACTGTTCAACACGCTTCCACTACACATAAGGGACATAACTGGCCGACCCCTCACAGTGTTCAAGAGAGAACTATCAACATCAGAGGCCCGAGACTGTTCAACACGCTTCCACTACACATAAGGGACATAACTGGCCGACCCCTCACAGTGTTCAAGAGAGAACTATCAACATCAGAGTCCCGAGACTGTTCAACACGCTTCCACTACACATAAGGGACATAACTGGCCGACCCCTCACAGTGTTCAAGAGAGAACTCTATCAACATCAGAGGCCCGAGACTGTTCAACACGCTTCCACTACACATAAGGGACATAACTGGCCGACCCCTCACAGTGTTCAAGAGAGAACTATCAACATCAGAGTCCCGAGACTGTTCAACACGCTTCCACTACACATAAGGGACATAACTGGCCGACCCCTCACAGTGTTCAAGAGAGAACTCTATCAACATCAGAGGCCCGAGACTGTTCAACACGCTTCCACTACACATAAGGGACATAACTGGCCGACCCCTCACAGTGTTCAAGAGAGAACTATCAACATCAGAGGCCCGAGACTGTTCAACACGCTTCCACTACACATAAGGGACATAACTGGCCGACCCCTCACAGTGTTCAAGAGAGAACTATCAACATCAGAGACCCGAGACTGTTCAACACGCTTCCACTACACATAAGGGACATAACTGGCCGACCCCTCACAGTGTTCAAGAGAGAACTATCAACATCAGAGGCCCGAGACTGTTCAACACGCTTCCACTACACATAAGGGACATAACTGGCCGACCCCTCACAGTGTTCAAGAGAGAACTATCAACATCAGAGGCCCGAGACTGTTCAACACGCTTCCACTACACATAAGGGACATAACTGGCCGACCCCTCACAGTGTTCAAGAGAGAACTATCAACATCAGAGGCCCGAGACTGTTCAACACGCTTCCACTACACATAAGGGACATAACTGGCCGACCCCTCACAGTGTTCAAGAGAGAACTATCAACATCAGAGGCCCGAGACTGTTCAACACGCTTCCACTACACATAAGGGACATAACTGGCCGACCCCTCACAGTGTTCAAGAGAGAACTATCAACATCAGAGGCCCGAGACTGTTCAACACGCTTCCACTACACATAAGGGACATAACTGGCCGACCCCTCACAGTGTTCAAGAGAGAACTATCAACATCAGAGGCCCGAGACTGTTCAACACGCTTCCACTACACATAAGGGACATAACTGGCCGACCCCTCACAGTGTTCAAGAGAGAACTATCAACATCAGAGGCCCGAGACTGTTCAACACGCTTCCACTACACATAAGGGACATAACTGGCCGACCCCTCACAGTGTTCAAGAGAGAACTATCAACATCAGAGGCCCGAGACTGTTCAACACGCTTCCACTACACATAAGGGACATAACTGGCCGACCCCTCACAGTGTTCAAGAGAGAACTATCAACATCAGAGGCCCGAGACTGTTCAACACGCTTCCACTGCACATAAGGGACATAACTGGCCGACCCCTCACAGTGTTCAAGAGAGAACTATCAACATCAGAGGCCCGAGACTGTTCAACACGCTTCCACTACACATAAGGGGCATAACTGGCCAACCCCTCACAGTGTTCAAGAGAGAACTGGATAAACACCTCCAAAGGATACCTGATCAACCAGGCTGTGACTCATACGTCAGGCTGCGAGCAGCCGCGTCCAACAATCTGGTTGACCAGTCCAGCAACCAGGAGGCCTGGTCGACGACCGGGCCGCGGGGACGCTAAGCCCCGGAACAAAGAACATGTCAACAGGTAGTCAGATAGATTGTCTAATTCCGTAACAAACGCGACGTATTGGGTTCAAGGACCCCCCGCCCCCCAGGAGAGGGCTGAGAACGGGACACACATACTCTCAGCTTGAGTAAGCTCCCCTCAAGCTGTAGGGTAACGCTGGAGCGTGGTGCCATGCTCCTCCCTACACGGCAGCTTACATATGGCAACAACATATAAATGACAACATATAACATATGGCAAGAGACAATAAATGTAAATAACAGTTTGGAGTCCACCATACAAACGGTGGTGGAGGATTAACCCTAAGAACATGAAGTGAACATTCTATAAGAAGTAACCCCAACTTGATAACCTCTGTGAACCAACCCACCATAATAACCTCAAGATAACCCACACCCGAAGAGTATAACCTGCAGGGGTTGACAACTCCCACAGTGACTCAAGGAACACATTAAAACAAGTGAGGATCACAGCAAAACACACGGAATGGAGCCCAAGAAAAATCAATAGGATTAAGTTCCTTTATAATGGAGGGGGGAAGAGAGGGTTCCGGGCGGAGGTTCACTGTCCATCACTGCTCAGTGTGGCTCCAGGTGTAGGAGGGGCAGGTGCTGGTGCTCCTCTCGTAGCAGTAGAGGGGGTGCCTGTGTACACATATGTGCCTCCTGGTGTGGTGAGGCGACCCCCGCCACACCTAGCGTGTGGCTCTCAGGGCCACACTGGTCCACACACACCAAAAACACATGTGATATTGATCAGCTGGAGGAGGGGGGTGGTGGCCCAACACACTGAGCCACCCCCCACTCGCTTCCGCCCCCCCTCTCCTTCCCCCTTCCACACACTGTTTCCACTCTTCACTACAACACTGCTGAATGAGGTGTACATGTGTGTACACACCTGCGGGTCCCGGGGCAGGTGTGTGCCAGCCTCTACCGTCACAAATGCCGCCATATTCTCACTGTGTTGACATTGTGGCGACACGTCTAGTTAGCTCCGTGGCTCACACACCTGCCTCTGTTCCAGGTGTGTGTGTGGAGGGGTTCCTAGGGTTGATGTAGGGGGGAGGCTGCGGGGGATGGTGGGGGTGGCGTGGGGTGGCGTGGGGTGGCGTGGGGAGGCGGGGGAGCTCACAATGGTCCTCACCAAAGTATGGGTGTGTCTGCCAGGCTAACACACACCGACACACCTCTCATTCCCCGTGTCCCCAGAGGGAGGGGGGGTGTGGGGTGAGGGGATGAGGGGGGGCGGGCACACGACTCCGCGGGTGTAGTACACTAACGGGGTTTGGGTGTAGCGTAGACACGAGGGGAGAGTGAAGGTAGCGGGGCCGTGGTGGCGCACGGTGCTCTCCCGCACACAGCTAGAGACACACTGAGGGGAAGGTCGGCCCTCTGGCACCACCACCCCTCGTCTCACCACCACCACCACCACCCCTCGTCTCCCCTCTCACCACCACCACCCCTCGTCTCCCCTCTCACCACCACCACCACCCCTCGTCTCCCCTCTCACCACCACCCCTCGTCTCCCCTCTCACCACCACCACCCCTCGTCTCCCCTCTCACCACCACCACCACCACCCCTCGTCTCCCCTCTCACCACCACCACCACCACCCCTCGTCTCCCCTCTCACCACCACCACCACCACCACCCCTCGTCTCCCCTCTCACCACCACCACCACCACCACCACCCCTCGTCTCCCCTCTCACCACCACACCACCACCACCACCCCTCGTCTCCCCTCTCACCACCACCACCACCACCCCTCGTCTCCCCTCTCACCACCACCACCACCACCACCCCTCGTCTCCCCTCTCACCACCACCACCACCACCACCACCCCTCGTCTCCCCTCTCACCACCACCACCACCACCACCACGTCCCTCGTCTCACCCCCTCTCACCACCACCACCACCCCTCGTCTCCCCTCTCACCACCACCACCACCACCACCCCTCGTCTCCCCTCTCACCACCACCACCACCACCACCCCTCGTCTCCCCTCTCACCACCACCACCACCACCCCTTGTCTCCCCTCTCACCACCACCACCACCACCCCTCGTCTCCCCTCTCACCACCACCACCACCACCCCTTGTCTCCCCTCTCACCACCACCACCACCACCACCCCTCGTCTCCCCTCTTACCACCACCACCACCACCCCTTGTCTCCCCTCTCACCATCACCACCCCTCGTCTCCCCTCTCACACCACCACCACCACCACCCCTCGTCTCCCCTCTCACCACCACCACCCCTCGTCTCCCCTCTCACCACCACCACCACCACCCCTCGTCTCCCCTCTCACCACCACCACCCCTCGTCTCCCCTCTCACCACCACCACCCCTCGTCTCCCCTCTCACCACCACCACCACCACCCCTTGTCTCCCCTCTCACCACCACCACCACCACCCCTTGTCTCCCCTCTCACCACCACCACCACCACCCCTTGTCTCCCCTCTCACTACCACCACCACCACCCCTCGTCTCCCCTCTCACCACCACCACCACCACCACCCCTTGTCTCCCCTCTCACCACCACCACCACCTAACTCTTCCCTACACACCCGCCAGCACAAGTAGGTCAGCACAGGATCCTTCAATATACTGGCAAGTGCCTTGAGGCCAAAACTGGAGCAATAGGGAGCAGTTCCCCATTATCGGGGAGAGGGGGAGCCTGTTAGGCTTACAGAGCCCCCCTTCCCCCTTGGGCCAACTACTGGACCCTCCTTCAGTACGCAACCCTTAACAGGTCTCTAGGTACCGAGGACCTGTTTAATGCAAAAGGACCCCCACACCCATCCTGTGGGTGGTAGTGGACCCCACACCCATCCTGTGGGTGGTAGTGGACCCCCACACCCATCCTGAGGGTGGTAGTGGACCCCCACACCCATCCTGTGGGTGGTAGTGGACCCCCACACCCATCCTGTTGGTGGTAGTGGACCCCCACACCCATCCTGTTGGTGGTAGTGGACCCCCACACCCATCCTGTTGGTGGTAGTGGACCCCACACCCATCCTGTGGACGGTAGTGGACTCCACACCCATCCTGTGGGTGATAGTGGACCCCACACCCATCCTGTGGACGGTAGTGGACCCCATATCACTCTTATAATTGAAATCACTGGTGTTGTCCCGTCTTGAGTATTGCTCAGTACTCACTTCCCCTTTCAGAGCGGGAGAGATCTCTGAAATAGAGGGAATACAGAGAACATATACGGCACGCATAGACACGATAAAACATCTAAATTATTGGGACCGTCTCAAAGCTCTCAAAATGTACTCTCTGGAAAGGAGACGAGAAAGGTATCAAATAATATATACATGGAAGATACTGGAGGGCCAGGTCCCAAGGTCCCACAGTAGAATAACAACATACTAGAGCGAAAGGTACGGAAGGAAATGCAAAATAGAATCAGTGACGAGGCCTGGTCGACGACCGGGCCGCGGGGACGTTAAACCCCGGAAGCACCTCAAGGTAGGAGTAGAGGTGCCATAGGCACAATCAGTGAACACTGTCTGAACATCAGAGGTCCACGGGTAGTTACACTAGGCAAACTTGGGATATTTCGCTATGATTTTTGTTAGTAAATCACCTTGATATAAATACTTAGATATTTATTGAACATTTATGATAAGAATGATCAGAAATTTCTTATATTTCGTCACAGTCCATAACATAATGCGAATAATTTTGTCGACACAGTTAACATTTGGTCAGGTCTACATCAGCAGGTAGACTCCCAGAGATCCTTATAGCAGAGTGCTAAGCCGCGCAGTAGTAACATCTTGGAGTCTGGGATTATACTGCAACCCGTTCTCGCACTTTCTTACAGTCAATATTGACTTATTAAATAAGTGCATATATGACATACTAATTTACTGTGAATATTTTAGTTTACCTTGAAAAGCTTCATAGAAAACACCGACCTTACCTAACCTTCTTAGTATGTTAAGATAAGCATCTTATTGCTTCGTAATTACAATTATTACTTAACCTACACCTATTATAGGTATAGGTTAAGTAATGATCCATACATGTGTGGCTCCTCTGGCATGATAGGATAATAGATGTAACTGCTAGTGTAGATTTCACTGTCTCAGATCTGCAAGCTTCTCTTGTTCTTCGGGCTTTATTCTCAAGTTGCTTGTAGACAATCCAAGACTCTTCTCCACTCTTCTAATGACAGATTCTTTGGCTAACTCGTCAGTTTTATCTTACATTCGACGGCCAAGATGTGACGGAACCTCCACTCAAAAGAGACTCTGTTATCATTAATAATGTTGTATTTATGTTAGCTTGAGACACGAGCATGTTACAGTTATGTCTTAAAGAGTTGAGAGCAATTAAGGATGATAAAGAGTCACTGATACTTAATGTGTAAAGTTTTTAGACATTTGAGTGCAAGAAGTCAAACAGTTGGAGGTGAAGTGTTCATTGTGTTTAATGTGTTCAGATGAACTTGGACGTGAAACTTGATGATTTTTGGTTGAAAAATATGGATTAATTTTGTGGCAGATGCAATTATTGGTGTGGACGACTAAGTGAGCCTGGTGGTTAAGTGAGCCTGGTGGTTAAGTGAGCCTGGTGGTTAAGTGAGCCTGGTGGTTAAGTGAGCCTGGTGGTTAAGTAAGCCTGGTGGTTAAGTGAGCCTGGTGGTTAAGTAAGCCTGGTGGTTAAGTAAGCCTGGTGGTTAAGTGAGCCTGGTGGTTAAGTGAGCCTGGTGGTTAAGTGAGCCTGGTGGTTAAGTGAGCCTGGTGGTTAAGTAAGCCTGGTGGTTAAGTGAGCCTGGTGGTTAAGTAAGCCTGGTGGTTAAGTAAGCCTGGTGGTTAAGTGAGCCTGGTGGTTAAGTGAGCCTGGTGGTTAAGTGAGCCTGGTGGTTAAGTAAGCCTGGTGGTTAAGTAAGCCTGGTGGTTAAGTGAGCCTGGTGGTTAAGTGAGCCTGGTGGTTAAGTGAGCCTGGTGGTTAAGTAAGTGCCGTACCTCACTGTAGCACAGGAACCTCCATCTTTATTCAAGATGAAAAGTGCCTCAAGTTTAAATATTAAATAAAATTATCTTTCAGCAATTGAGCGCGTCCACAGACAGTATCTTGGAGACGGTAACAGCACCCCCCCCCCCCCGCCAGGATCGTCTTGGGAGAGCGGGAATCCAACCCGTAAAGTTGCAACAAGTGTTTAAAGAGGTCTTGTGAGCACTTACAACATCTCCGCCGTGATAATGGGCAGCACTAGAAATATAAATTGTATATTGGAAGTGAATAACTGAGTTGACTACAAATATCCCATTTAGAAATAGGTCTGCCTGTTAGGGTTAACTGTAATAGGTCTCAGTAGTTCACTGACAGTAACAGAGTCTCCACAGCAAGGCACTGTGATTTATCTCAATAAATTACCAGCAAACTAAATAGTTTTTTTTCAGTATATACATTACGTGAACAATGATTGAGTGGTCACTACCCTGAGGGCCAACATGAGCGGTGGCTAACATTAATGACCTGCCACGACACCCACAAATGACTAACTACACCTCAGTAAACTGAGTGGACACTCAAGGATAGTAAACTAACTGTTAGTTCTGATAATTAACCCCCAGACCTTTGTTAACAGGGCAGAGAGTTCGCTGAAGTAGAGTGATTGAAGTAGAGTGTTCCAAGTTATCAGAATAATTAGGCAACCTTAATTACTTGTGTAGACTAGTGATTAATAATTGTATTTTTCAGTAAAATTTATCTATAACTGATGATAACAGTCGGACAATAATTACACTGATTCCTTCAGATATAATTCCCAGATAAGGGAAGGAATTATCAGGGGAACCACCAAGCCATTACGACTACATACCACTTGGAGAGGGGGGGGGGTCAGGATTTAGGATGGGAGGGAGGGAGAAAGAATGCTGCCCAACCACTTGGACGGTCGGGGGATTGAACGCCGACCTGCATGAAGCCAGACCTCTTCTAGCAGTAAGTAGTTGATACCTGGTTGATGGGGTTCTGGGAGTTGTTCTACTCCCCAAGCCCGGCCCGAGGCCAGGCTTGACTTGTGAGAGTTTGGTCCACCAGGCTGTTGCTTGGAGCGGCCCGCACGGCCACGTACCCACCACAGCCCGGCTGATCCGGAACTTCTCTTAGAAAGCCGTCCAGTTTCCTCTTGAAGATGTCCACGGTTGTTCCGGCAATATTTCTTATGCTCGCTGGGAGGACGTTGAACAACCGCGGACCTCTGATGTTTATACAGTGTTCTCTGATTGTGCCTATGGCACATCTGCTCTTCACTGGTTCTATTCTGCATTTTCTTCCATATCGTTCACTCCAGTACGTTGTTATTTTACTGTGTAGATTTGGGACCTGACCCTCCAGTATTTTCC